AAAAAAAGGGTAAGATCTGTAGAGGATAGAAAGGAAGGGAACGTCGGGAACATTTTTTACAGATCCTGCAACGGGAGCGGCCATTTAGTTTATTGAGTTCGAACCTTTTTTTCTCAAGGGTAATAAGATTATAAGTTCGTTAAGAATTTCTGCACGCATACAAACGGAAAAGAAATGAGTAAATCTGTTTTTTGGATCTGTTTTTCAGATTAGACGCCTTTATGTAACAGCTGTTCAGGATCCATGTTCATGTTCCTACAGAGATTTGCAAGCAATTCTGTATAATAGGCCTAAATATATATATATCCTCTTCAATGTTTCCGGGCGTGTAAGAACCTGCCTCATAAGTAAACTTTCCACGAATAACTCGGTTTTCCCAACACGTCTACAGACACATAAGAAACATAAATAAAGACGGTAGGCCTTATAACTAATTCGACATGCTGAAATCAGCGGACGAGAGGCGAATGCCAAAAACACATGAGGATTACGACCCAGCGCACCTCTCGTTATTCGGTTAATCAAGAGTGGCGCGAGCTCTGGGTGACCCCCCTCTCCCCTCCCCCTCCCACCCCATGAAAATTGACAATGATAGTAACAAATTATAATGATCAAGTTAATTCATAAATAAATGAGACTGAGACACACTGCTTATAAGAAAAAAACAGAAGTTTTAAAGAATTGCTGGATATTTCAAGTATGGCATACATCTCAACTGCTAATTTCTGTAATTTCATAGTTTATCTCATAGAGTCCTTCAAAGCGAGTCCCTGGTAGTCCCTGAATGGGCAAAATCACTAAAAACGCACGGATTGGCGTCTCCGTGTGCCTGCGCAGGACACACTAGTCATGGGACGCTCGGGTCAATCATTCATACTGTGATGCATAACTCAATTTTTGTCAACACAGAAGCCTACTAACAAAAGTAGCGTGTCTGCCGCTAGGTGGCATGACAGTGGTTACGAGGTCACAACGTAATATTTAACAGTCTGGGAGGCTCGCGTTCACAGCACTTCAAGGTAAGACATTAGGCCACCTCGTAAGAGATACAAATAATTATGCAGTAAGTTAATGAAAATAAGTTAGTCTATAGACATTCATTATTTGTTATCTGATTATTATCAAAACACGTAATTTTGAAACCAATTGATATTTGCGTGGCCTTAATGTAAGGCTAGGTAAGGTAAGGTCACATAAATTTTTTTAAGCTGTCATTAGGCCTATACATCTAGGATCTTACCAAGTACTTATATCACACCATTGCCGCTAAACCCGATAGAGTGCAACTGTGTCTTTAAAATAGTATAAGTCCATTACATTGTTTTCCAAAAATGATATTTGCACCTTTATTTTTCTATTTACCTTGTGTGGACTGGATCAGTGGAAATACCTGTAAGTAGGTCAATATACGGCTAGGAATTGGAAGGTGCAATTTTTAAGTCTAATTTCTGCTGTCATCGATTTTGATTTTTGTTTTTTTTTAGCATGTCGATTTCATTTGTGTCGTTTATAAACTGGCACTTATGATTCATATAGAGTACGCTATAGGGCATTGACATCTGGCTTCACACAAAATATATGTACAGTAGCCCTATTCCAATCTCAATTCTCGAATCACAAGCATTTTCGTGCTATTATTGTTGGTTCTGGCTACAGAGATGGGGTGACCCTGAATGAAACTCGACTTCAGATCTTCTGGAAAATATGTTTAAATTCGGCGTCACACCCTTTGCCGAACATAAAGTTCGTTGAACTCTCACGGCTTTCTGACCCGACTTAAATATGCACAGGGTTTTTGTCACAGTGTGTTTGACTTAAAACTGCATAGTGTTTTGTCAATGGACAAAAGAGTGTGCCACCCCTGTGAAAAATACAGTATGTTTATAGGGGTTTAAAGTAAAAAGCATCTAGTGTGTTGAGTACCGTGCGACCTTGGGGACAAATTCTCCTCAGGTTTGAGGTCATCTCGGCTCAGCGCTTTAACCACAATAGCCTTGCTTCCGCAGTGACGCCTGTCATTTTAAATAGCTAGGGTGGATTTATGAATTATAAACAGACTAGAAGAAAGTGCGTGCTGTTTGGATGGCATATAGAAATGAATGCTGGCGAAATAATGAGAGTAACGGCACTTAAGAGACATCATTAAGAGACACTGTACTTGGTTATTCGTATTCTACTTTTAAACTCGTATTGAGTTCCACGGAGGCGATACATTTGATAGTAACTATACGTTTATTTTTTTAAAGTAAAGTTTTAATCCTACTCCTACTATTCTCATTCCTATATCTGTATCCTATTTGTACATGTAGAATGGGAGGAGAAAGAGGGAGATCCAGTAAAAGCTATATAATATTTTTCAAGGAAATGTATAACTATTTAGTATTTGATACACCCGGGATTTTGCTTAGAGAGATGAAGATAACATTTTCAGCTTACATTGCCTACCAGGTTTATATACAAAAAAGGAAAAAATAATACAAATAAAAAGTGTTTTGTATTTAAATTCAATATACCTGCAGATTTACATGTCAATTTTCTACTTATTATTATTATTAGAAATCATTATGGAACGCTGGAGAGGTCGAGTTGCCTTGGTAACCGGGGCGTCAGTTGGGATGGGCGAGGCGTTTTGTCGCGCACTCGTGAAACATGGTATGATAGTTGTGGGGTGCGCTCGCCGAGTTGAACTGATAGAGGTAAGGTTTTTGTATATAAAAGGAGTTGTTAAAAGTATGAGGGCAGTATGTGATAGAATGAAAGAAAACAGTTGATATAAATTATTGAAGTACACCTCAGGCTCTCATAATTTACAAAAGGGCCGTTCTGAATGAGTAATTAGGTCGTACTAGCTAGTGCGCATTAACTCTCGCTAATAGCAATCTGATTAACAGACCAACACGCCGCCTCTTGTTTCCAACGTGGTCGTAAAATCACCAGCTTCTCTGAATTCAACTCAACACCAGTCTGTTAGAGGTGAGGGTTTTATAAATAAAAATAATATTGAATTATGGGAAAACAGTAAAAAAGATATGATAGACTAATTTGACTAAATGAAAACAGTTGACATAAAGATTTATTGAAATTTCATAATTTTCTGCTTAGAGAATAAAATTGTCGTAAACGGTTACTTCACATATGCTAGCCACGATAGGGTCCATACATACATACGTACATACATACATACATACATACATACAAAGCGGAACCTAATTTGCTATCTTTTAAATTAACACGTTTCTATTTTTTATTTACAGAAGACAGCAAAAGAATTGGAAGGAGAGACAGGACGTTTGATCCCCATGAAATGTGACCTGACAGTGAAATCTGAGATCGAATCCATGTTCCGGGCCATAAAGGACCAAGTGGGTGGGGTGGACGTATGTGTTAATAACGCTGGGTATCTGGCCCCACAGCAGCTTCTCGGTGGTGATACCGACACCTTCCAGAAAATGCTGGACGTGAGTATTATACCATTTTAGACCGGTTACAAGCAACACAGAATCCTGCCTTTCTATAGTACGTCGAACCCGGTGAATTAAAACCGGTTCCGAACTCAGATAAATTGTTATGATGGACATGAAATGTAGGCCGCGGAAAACCCTTTACATTATATCTAATCACCATGTGTCCACGGGACCTCTGGTTTCTGAAACAATCACGGGAGGCTCTCTCCGATCATGACGCCGGACATGGGCCAACCATCATGTATCCTACTATATGCAGTAGTGGGAGTGTCTCTGTAATAAAGTCTTTGAAATAGAACTGGGCGTGTGTATTTTTATAAAAGGGAGTTATCGACCACAGTCCTGACAGTCCGAACAGACTGAGAACCATTGAGATGTATGTGTCATATA